CGAATGAACATGCTGAGTTGGAGACATCTGACTGCAATTTGATCTCCAGCTGGTCCAATGAATTTTTGGTGACAGTCTGCAGTCGGTCATGTTGCAGTCGGTCGGACCGGTCGGATGTCCTTTCAGCGAATCCGTTCAGCGAAGTCTCTCATACATCTTCCCCAAAGCTCTGGGATTGGTCAAAGCGCTCTGGGATAGGAAAGTACTCTCACTCCAAGTCCGACGAACACTTCGAAGCGCTGCTAATTGTGGGCAAAAGTCTCACAATTTGTCAGCTTCAGTGGAATCTTTGGAAACCCAACATACATTCCTTCCGAACAGTGGGAAGAACATGGAAAAAGTTCCACAACATGTGTCCTCTCCTTTTCTTCTTTCTAGTTCTTGACTCAATGACTCACGGCACTGGCCTTGCTGGCAGACGAAGACGCCTCCCGGTGTTCACGCTGTTTCACAGCAGAACGCTGTTCACGTTTTCTTTGAAGCGAAAGGATTAGACATGGACTTGTTTGAAGCGAAAGGCAGCCCTTGCCACAAATCTGCGGTCGAATTAAGGAAGTCACATATATTCTCGATTTGAAAACTTGTTTGCACATGGTTTTCTCCAAAGACTCACCTGGAACCTCCAACTCCCCGTCTAAAAATCATTAAGTTTGATCTAACAAATCTCAACTGCTCATTCAGAAAGAGAACCGTTTTGTCCTGGTTCGTGTGGGTTCCAGGCATTATTTCGTTTCAAGCTCCACCTTTGGGGGCATCTTGCTGCTCAGCTGTCCTTGGATGCGCTGACTGAGCTTTGTCTCAAAATCAGTTGAAAGTGCAAATAAATTGGCAAGCAGTTTTCCAGAGGTCTAAAACAGGATGTTGTGTCTGACTCAAGGAATATTGGTCTCCTGACTCACCTTTATTTGGCGAAGCTTCTTTCGGTTGACATATTCGAGCGGCAGCGGCAGTGGGTCGAAGAAATACGACACAACCCGATCCTCTCCTGTTTGAAAGCTTCAATTTTCATGGACAACATCAAGATCCTGCACCAACGCCAATCCCTTCCCATTCCAGATTGCATGATTTCCTTCATCAATCGAGGGATCACTTTTGTAGGTTGGAGGCCATTGCTATTCGGTTTGAGGCCATCACTAATTAGGTAGGAGGCCATTGCTAATAGGTAGGAGGCCATCGCTCTTAGGTTAGAGGTCATTGCTAGTAGGTTGGAGGCCCATTGCTAGTAGGTTCCCCTCTCGCTCGGCTAAGAGCGGCTCCGGTGAGCTGAACGTGTCCTCCACGTTCACTCTCCTCTGTACAGTCGCTTTCTTTGCGATGGAAAGCGGTCGCTCACCACAGCCTTCTTGAGCCAAGGCTGCAGAAGTTCAACGAACGGCGGCTGAAAGTCCGAACGTGTACAGGTTCTTCCAAATGTTCCGAAAAAAAGCTGCCGAAACAAACACCTTGGCAACTGCCTTGGCAACTCAACCTTGGCTCCTGGAAGACAACACCTGCAAGTAAAGAGGGAGAAAAAGAAAGCGGTCAAACTCAGACTGGCCAATAGAGTCGCCACCCCTTTTTTTCCCGGTCTTCGATCCTGCACATCCTGGCCGTGCGTCGGCGCGAATGGCGTGCTGTGGCCCCAAGTCCCCCATTGGCCGGCGGACAAGTGACCCACCTATCTGAACGTTTAAAGCTGAAAAACATGGACATAAACAGCTATGCAGCATGGACAAGGAACTCGTCAAGCCTGGCGAAAGGTCCAGCCCCAGCTCCTGATCAAGAGTCTTCCAACTACGGCACGAGCCATCTGAAGCACAGCCTTTCCTGAAGCCCCAAACACCGGATCTTTCAATCAAAACTGCTTGATAGGGGGATTCCCAATCATTTTAGCTGACTGTTTCGGTTCCAGGGTGCATGTGCCAAAAGAGGCAGGCACTGCCAACCTTGATTATTTTGCTCTTCTTTTGGAACGTGTTTCTTGGATGCAGCAAAGCAAGTGACTTTCAAACCAGGACGGCTGGAGGAGCACGGGGAGGTCGGCTAGACTTGTCTGAGCTAAATCATGCTAAATCGATCTCTCGTGAAGTGGTTCGCTGAAAGGTCGTCCTGGCAAAGTTTTGAGCTGTTGGCGTGGCCCACGGCCTCAAACAAAAGGCACGCGAGGCTCATTGGCCGCTTTCACATCTTTACTTTCGCTCTTAGGTTGGAGGCCATCACTAGTAGGTTGGAGGGGAGAGTGGCCTTAAAAAAGTCTAGAAACCGTATCGCCGTATCGGCCACGCCGATAGGGTGCTTTCAGGAAGCTTCTCCGGCCCTGCTTGTCACCCGAGCTCCGATGCGCCTGCTGCATGTTTACTTCTTACCTTTTGACTATGAGCTACTTATACTCCCTCTCTTACTAATTACACATATCCACAGTCCTGCACCTTTCAACATGCTCGAAATGAAGATCAACCATCAATGGGCCCTGGGTCATCTGAATGCCAAGACACCCAAGTCAAGGTCTTCAAAGTCGTCTCGTTTGGCATCACATTGCACCGCACCTCAATGTGAACCGGAATGACAAAGCTGCTGAAAGGGTGACCAAGCACAACACACTTTGCATGTCGTCCATCTCTTGCTACCCAGAACACCCCAAAAAAAGGTGAATGGTTGGGGGATCATCCCCAGCTTTGGTGATGCAGGAAATTCTTCCATTAGCATTGGTGGCACACTGTCCAGTGAGCTGAAAACTAGGCACGGAAAGCAAACTTGGGGGGCCAAGGGCCATTGATTGGTCAATTGAAATGGACTTGGAGTCTTAAAATGTGATTTATAAAAATATAGCAACTGTAATATCTTCTAATTGTTATAAGATATGTATCTTTGGGGGAGTCTTAAGAAATAAGGCTCGCAGCCTTGGCCGCAATACCGTTGGATAAAAAGCAGCACGTGTCTCGACTGAAAGCGAAAGCAATGGAAAGTGGGTACAAAGGATGTGAAAGCTCAGTGGTTGAGGGGCTCCATTTGTTGTGAGACCGACCAGTAGGTTGGAGACCATCGCTATTAGGTTGAAGGCCCTTTCTACCAGTAGCACGAAGCTATTAGGTTGGAGACCGACCAGCAACTGCTTTAAGTCTAAGTTGCCATCTGCCGAAAGATCCGCTGGGACCTCAGCTCGTCAGCTGAAGACCGGGCTGCGGGCAGAAACTGGTGGACCGGGATGAACGAATATAGTACGTCCTTGCTCCGAGTGGCGATGCCCTTGTTACTAGTAGCTTCTTGCTTCTAGTAGCGATGCCAGGAGCTACTAGCTATAATACAATATTGTGTTTTCCGTTCTGTCAACATGAGTCATGATTTCCTTCAAGACCACACCCAAGGTTTGCAAACTCTGAGGATGTCTGCAGTAAAGAGCTAAGGCAAATGATGGGAGCACACAAATTCCCACGGTCTGTTCTGCACACCACACCTAACTAAAGCCAAGATGCTCTTCGCGTTTCTTGGGCTTTGCAACAGCGCAAGCAGTCAAAAGGGCTGTCCATGTCACCTTGTCTAGCAGCGTCAGACTTTGAAAAAGTGCACCAATTGCCCCTTTTAAGGCAGCTGCACCATCCATCAAAACATCTATGCAGCCTGTTTGAGCGCCCACTCCAAGTGATGGAAGGATCGTGAAGGATCTAAGAAGGTGCAAAACCTTCGTTGGACTCAAAACCCTTCCACCGTTGCCTTCGTTGCCTTCGACTTGGAGCGGCCGTCTCGAGCGGCCAAGGGGCGACGTTGGGCCGAAGCTTGGAGAGCGCCATGTCCGAGACCAAGCGCTTGGAGTTCTCCAGGTCCCCCCTCCTCCCGACGCGGCGCGACCAGAAGCTCCCGGGGGGAGAACGAACAACGGCAGAAGAAGTAGGACGCTTCTTGGCTATAGTAGCTATTAAGTAGGACGCTTCTAGCCAAGACGCCGGAGAGTTCACGCTTCTTCAAGGATGCTTTTGGAAAACTGAGGGTGGGGGCAGCTTCCTGGAAGAAGTGCTCGCACTAACGATTTGGTTCCTAGATATTTTGGCACACTGACCTTTCTTCTTTAGACGAGTCACCCAGTCGGTCTGAGACAAACCGATGTGGTCAAAACAGTGCGTGTCTGTCCAGATTAAAGACGCTCAGACATGTGGCAACACTGTGTTGGATCAACTATTTGAGCAAACTAGGCCCAAACAGAGCAAAGCAATCAAGGCCATCAGATGTCATTCAACCTCACTATCACCCTGAAGTGGTGTTTGGTCGGAAAAATACACCAAAAGCTCTTGTGTGAAGGCTTTTCTCTTACTGGAGCAAATTCAGGTTCCTATCCCATGTGCTACAGGATTCTGTCCATGAAAACACCACAAAGTTCGCCGGACGGACCGCGGTCTCTGGAGACCTCAGACCTGTCCGACCTGTCCCAGTCCAACAGTCCTGGCATATGCTCCGACCAATGCAGAGTACGTGACCTCATCAGCAGCTAAACCTTGGCAGCGCAGGACACGTGATGCTGAGTTCAAGAGCAAATGTCGAGAAACCACATGTCAGATCTCTTGACGCTCAGAGTTGCTCAACTTCTTTGATCCCACGCGCTAGAAGGTCGCTAGGCAAGGAACAAGAGGGACGACGAAAAACAACACGAATCATCCAAATCTCCGATGTTCGGATCGAAGGCTTCTCGTCCCAGTTGTGTCGACCCGTCATGCTTTGCATCCTGGTAACACAGTCAAGTTCCCCAGCCCGAACTACGTGATCTACATAGTGGTCTACGATGGAACTGAAACAGTGGCATAAAAATAGCACAAAAATCATACATCATCTGCTCTGCTGCCTAAACATGACAGTGGGCCGTAGCAAGTTTCAAGCTTATCAAGCTGCAGGGGCATGCAGGTGACATCACCTGATTGGTTGAAAGATTTGGGTATGTATTATATATATATGCATACATATAAGCATAATATACATGAGTTGGAAAACAACCTCGACTCATAGAGTTCTTTGATCTTGTGAACTCCACTGCGCTACTCATGTCGGCTCAGATTGTGGTAGCGCCGTCGGTACCAGACCAGATACCTGAGCAGCACTGTCAGTTGGGGGGGGGTTCCAGCACCCAATCTGCAAGCTGATGCGCACTTTGACAGCTACTCATCGGAAGCATTCATAGAGAGTGGTTCATTCCAACCCGACATAGACCGTCTGATCCAAGCGACTCCACATAGACCTGCGAAGGATCGAAGATCACATACTCATTCACGTCACTGGCGAGCTTTACACCTCGGTGCTTGGCAGAGTGGCCCTCTCCAAGCGTTTTGGGGGACGGCGATCGGCCCACTGGCACTTTCACATTCTAAGGGAAGTGTTCCTCTGAAAACATGCATGCGCAAAGGACCTTGAGAAATGATTGTTTAACGCCCCTCGGAATGAGGTCGGAATGATGTGCTTATTCACTTGAAGGACTTCACACAATACAAACAAGAAACAGACAAACAGTCTGTACCAGTGTTTGGGAAACCATTTGCTTTGAGATCTCTTTTCCTCCAAAGAGGCCTACCACTTTCACGGCAAGTAAGATTTCAAGTCCATTCCGTCAGGATGTTACGAGATCGAACCCATCCAGCACAAGATCTGGTTCACCCCCCTGCCAATCCGATTGCCACCAAAGTGGTCTTGAATGAAAGGTTCCTTTTTTTCAGGTTCTTTCTTCTTTATGCAAAGGGTTCCCAGTATTTGAACAGACTACCATAAATCTGAGTCTGAGGAGTCATCCACAGCCACCTGAGCTCACCTCTGAGTGGCTCTGATACTCTGATCCTCGCCGGATCGAGTTCCCGTGACGATCTCCTGCGGCGCCGCCAGGTCAGACCGAACGCTACTAGGGGCTCCTGGCATCGCTACTAGGAACAAGAACGCTACTAGGAGCAAAGGGCATCGCTACTAGTAACAAAGGGCATGGCATTACTAGTAGCATGCTTACTACTAGTAACAGGGACGCTACTAGTAACACACGTCAAACGAGTTTTCCCCTATGAGTTTCGCCGTTTTGTTGCCCCACGTCCTGTGTCCCCTATGTCCTCAATGTTTGCCCTGGTGCATATTCTAGGGGACTCTCATTTTGAGACAAACCTGCGTGAAAGGATCCAAACATCGTGCTTCTTCCAGACCGATTCAGGTGATCTGCCAGGCCTTCTGACTGGTTGATGACGCGCCCCAGGCAGACGCGACAAATCAGAATGGCACACAGGCCATTGGGATGCAGCTCGCTGCATTGATCGGCCTCCGAAAGGAAGGAGGAGCTGCAAGCATGACATGATTCGATTCACTTGCTTATGAGGTGGAAAAGCAGAGCTTATGAAACAAAATGAATATCCGTACCTGCGCAAAACAACAGCAAACGTGTAGCAGTGTAGCAAAGCGCTGTCAAAAGGCTTGGTTCTTTTCTTGAATGCCGTACTCCTTGCCCTTTGAGACAAAGTGGTGCATTTCTTTCACCAGAATCGATGGTTAAACACACATGGAAACCGCCTCCAGGGACAACAGTTTCAATGCTGGGTGGTTCAGCACTACTCTTGATACTTCATGTCTGTTCTAGAAGACCCAGCATGGTCCAGCATGCGTCTCCAGCCTTCACTGCGGAGTCTGTGAGGTAGATGCCCGACCCTGCACTGGATCCTGCATGGCACGACAACACCTGAGTCCTCGGTGGAGCTACGCACGGTGGAGGCCATCGCGTTCTTTGGTTGGAGGCCATCTCTACGAACGTAAGAATAAAGCTTTCCAAGCTTTGCAGCATGTTGATGCAGTTTCCAAGCTTTGCAGCTGGCCCCTGTTTCAAAGCCGCGTTGCTGAACACGAGCAGAGTCGTCTCTTGGGCACTGTGCACTGGCTGCGGTGGTCCCTTGCAATAGAAAGATCTCGTTCACATTGAGATCCAACGGCCTTGGCGACATCTAGGCATTACTACTGGGAGCAAGGACGCTACTAGGAGCAAAGGGCATCGCTACTAGGAGCAAGGATGCTACTAGGGGCTCCTGGCCTTACTAGGAGACATCGGCGACATCTCGACACCTCGGCAGCGACGTCCGGTCTGCCAAGGGTCTTTGGGCTGAGCCGCGCTGTGATGCCTCTGCGAAAGCCTCAGGCAGAGTACATATCAGGGGGTATAGTCAAGCCATCTGAGGAACCATTGCGATTGGCTTTGCAAGCAGATATAGCGTGAACACAGCATCCAAATGTCTAGGACATCGCATCACAGCCCAGTGGCCAAAGAGCTTCTTCAAGAACGGAGGTACCAGTGCGTCACCTCGGCTTCGTCGCGAGCGCGGCCAAAGCAGGACGTGTTCGGTTGCGTTGCCCCTGAGAAGTAAGCTTGTATTTTTGAAAAAAGGTGTGTGGCGAGAACTGTCCAATGCATCAGAATTACATCTTGTTGCTTCAAATCTGTTTCAGCGCCAAATGAGTTGCCAGGAACACTAGCAATATGACATGCAGAAAGACTAGGCTGCTTATGGCCAAAGATGGGCTTTGAAGGCACCCTTCTTGCATTTCCATGGCCTTGCCGCCCTCTCCTCCATTTCCAGTGGCTGAACTTAGGAAATTGTTTCCCATGCCTTCCGACCAGCCTGTGGTCGCCAAGTTGCTACCGGGGTCCTCCAAAGGGGAAATCTCCATCCTTCGGTTGCTTTTGTCCACAGTTCCTGGAACGCAGCAAGCATCAATCGAAAACATGCAAAAAAGAGGCGAACATCCGCAACGTCTCAGGAGTAGTAGTTAGTAGTTGCAAACTGCAGGATCTGCAGTGACCATGGTTTTGAATGCTTGCTTAAGGCTTGAGAGCTGCAAACATGTGTATGGAAAATGATCCAAAGTCGTCGTAGTGGTCATGTTCAAGAAAACTTGTTCCGAATTTGTCACCTGAGCAACAGGCCTCCCCTCGAAGAAACGTGGTAGAAAGGGCATCCCCGCAAATCAGATGAGATTAGACGCGTTGCGCCCTTCAGTCGTGACTTACCTCAACTTGTATGGCTGCCATCAGAGGTTTGTTTCAGATTCACCCAAAACAGCCTTTTAAAAAAGAAAAGACACATCCATACACATCCAAAAATGACACAAAAAACCACCGTCCGGTGCCTGTAAAGTGCCGCGACCGGAAGCGGCCGATTGGTTCCAGCGGGTGGCGCTCCTCCTCGGTCCGATCGATAGATCAAACCGGTGAAATCTGAAAGCTCGATGATCTCCGATGGTTTCGATCCTCTGAACAAAAAAAAAACGCTGTGAGAAGCACAAAAAGGCCACTGCCAGGGATTGTCATGGCCAGTTTCAAGTCAACGCCCACTGCCAGGGTGAACTTGCTGCAAGCTGCGACTGTTCTATTCTTTTCTGGGAAGGGTACCCCGGTACCACAAATCTCAACGACAAAATAGGCACTATAGTAGCTATTTGCTAACTACTAGCTTCTTGCTATTTCTTGCTACTAGTAGGAATGGCCTCCACCCTAATAGTAGCGATGGCCTCCACCGTGCGTAGCTTCTAGCTACTATAGTAGTAGCTAGATTCAAACGATTTGTTTCAAGACACCCAAATCGGATAGAAGGTCTGGTTGTAGTACAGCACGGCACCTGTTGGCCCAGAGAAGCTCTCCACTTCGGACATTCGGACATTCGTGAGGCAATGGAACATGACCCTGTTTAGGAACAGACAAACTGATTCAGCTCAAGGAATGGTCACAAGTTCGCCGCCTCATGTTTCTGGAAAAAAACAGAATTCTAGTACCTTCAAACTTCCATCTGGCAAGAAAGAATAAAAAGGTCGAAGGAAGGGAGCAAAGGAGCGCTGGCGCACCATAGTTGCTAGGGACCCCATTGCCAGCCATCTCCACAAATTCTGCCTTGGAGGCAACTCGAAAGTCGCTGGACTGTACGAGGCTTTCGCAAGTGTCTTGCGAAAAAGGGATAGTCGGGATAGTCCCACGCTCAATCACCCATCACCTCTCCGATACGAAGGTAGGATGAATTGAAGCGAAGGGTCAAACAGTGAAAAATTGCACTCCGATTGGTGACTCCAGTGGCAACAGTGTGCATCGCTACTAGTAACAAGTGCCTTACTAGTAGTAACAAGAACGCTACTAGGGGCTCCTGGCCTTACTGCTAGGACCAAGGACGCTACTAGGGGCTCCTGGCATCGCTACTAGTAGCAGTCTTGCTACTAGTAACAAGACGCTACCAATTAGTGTGTCGCCCATGGAATTCATATGGGCTCTAAGACTCCACGACTCAACCAGCAGACCTCGAGGTTGGCCTTCTGCTCTGCAACACCTTGGGGGAAACAGTTCCACAATGGCATGTTTCAGTTCGTGAGCATGCCAACATACCGCGGCCACATAAAACCATGGAAAAACAGAGGTTTCAACCAAAGCCCGGGAATGGGGTAAACAGACATCAACAAGGTTCCAAAGAAGGTCGCAAAGTCTGCGGTCTGGCTCTTTTTTTAAGCTAAACGTACTGCGTTCATCGCACGGCTTGGTGGGCGAGTCCCATCACATGATCACTGGAGTCACGGCAAAACGATGGCAGACTCCCCAAGTCCGGCGACGACGGCGAAGCGACCGAGGTGAGAACCGTGGTGGAGCCCGTTTGGGCCCAACGTCGGACAACGACTCTCGGATCTCGGACTCGGCACATCGAGTCGTTCCCGGAACGTCCGTGTCACATTGGGAGAACGGGAGAGCATCGCTCCATTGTCCAAGGGGGAAACGGCAAGAGCAAGGGGGCGAATTGCTCACATCTGAGTTGACCTTTGCAGCACCTCGAGTTGACCAAGTAACGTCCATGATGTTGTGCCATGAGATCCAGAAGCGCTGCACCCTGAAGGAACACCTCCAGTTCAAAAACCGCTTGACACTGCCACGTCTCACGCCAACGGTCACTCTTCCCACCTCCAGAGGGAAGAGCAATGCTTCACGGCCTCGAGAACGGGAGACGAAGCATCAGAGACCAAAAAAAAAAGAAGCAGTTCCATGATAGATGGGAAGAAAACAAGACATAGAACACGTTGAACACAGAACAAAACAAGACATAGATAGGACAGGACATGCTTTGTTCAACGTGTTCATCCTTTTCAGAGCTAGAACTGATACAAACGCTCGCTTTAGATGCGAGGTTTGACCTTGGCCGTGCTCCAAAGCACAAGCTTGCGCTACCGTCTCCCCACGTCTCTCCACCTTGTAGCCACCAATGTCCAAAAAGAACGGGGCTTCGCTCCCATCGCCTCAGGCCACTGGACCGGAACAGCAGATGGGTTTCTCGCAAAGTGTCTGCCAACTGATCGGTGATCGGCCGGCATACAGGGCTTGGGATTTGAGTTGTCTGCAAAAAAAAAGAACTACAGTGAGGTCTTGCTGCTGAAAAATATGCGAACAAAAGAAATGCAAGCTGCTTGAAGCTTCTTAGCAAACGCACTGAACCAATACTGGTCTTTTGAGGTCATTGGTTATTCTTCTTTCCCCTTCGCACGCTTGCGCAGCGAAGCACAGGCGCGCTCGCTCGCAAGCTACGCTGCTTTTGCCCAGCGACGCAGGAGCGCTCTCCCTGTGGCCACTGTTCCAGAAGATCACCTCATCAACTCTGTGTTCAACTGTGGCCACCGAAAACGACACTTCTGGGTTGGAGGCCATCGCTAGTAGGTTGGCCATCGCTAGTGCCCACCCGAGAAGGAAGCAGCTAAGGGAGACTGATTATGTCATAAAGGTTTATATACTCATGAAGAGGGGAGGAGTTCTACAGCGCCCGACCGGTGATCTGGTAACCTCCCTCTTCACGAAGAGGACTCAAGATCTGCTAATGCCCTAGCAGCACGGAATTCCGTCGCATTTCCACCAGCCAAGAGACACCAAGTTCAGCATCCTGCCAAACTGGGTCGTGATGGGTGTCTCTGCTTCCAAACTCGAAGCGATTTGAGATTGGAGATCAATGACACAAAGTCCTCATCTACCCTAAGGGGTGACTTAATAATGAAGCACAGCAAGGGGTGACGAGATACCGTGTTTCTTTGACTTCGAGACCGTGTTTGTCACACCTACTCCCATGACTGCCGACACGACCGGCCTGAAACACGCCGTTGATCTGCTTCACGTTGGTCCGCGATGTGTGAGAGTACTGCAGGGCAATCACATGATGATTGGAAAGAAGTCTTCTCATGGATGATTGGAGTGGTCAACAACATTCAACCACATCTGAATCCCATTCTGAACCAACAAAACAGATCATCTGAGGGACCTACATTGAAACAGAAGGAGTTTTTAAGCCACAGCAAGTGGAATGAACTGGCTTCGGATGCAGAAAAAATGCACTGGAATCGGTGTGATCTGTCCACAGCCACACCTGGTGGACAAGCCACATGAGGGATACTTCGGAGTCCGTGTCCCCACATTCCGGCCTTGCATTGGTGAAAGGAACTGAATGCAGCGCTTCGTAGAGCATCAAAGGAAATGTTCATTGGTTCTATTTGGTGTTTCTTCATGTGTCTTCTCTTTCTTCCCATTAATTAGAATGTGTCGTTCCTGTCTTTCTCATGAGAGAAAACATGTTCAAAGGTTCAAAGGAGCCTGCCTTGAAAGAAGGTGGGGCCATGGCAAAGCCCTCAGTCTCTGAGCTGTGCGCGCTGTGAATTCTGTAGACAAAAGAAATTCCCAAGAGCCAACATGATGTTCATCGTGTTTTCACTTGTCTGTCATCTGCCTATGGAAACTCTACTCCCACGTAGATCCAAAACAGGAAAAGAACCATGGAAACAAAGTCAGACCGAACACAGCTGGAAAGAACCCGAGACACCGCAAAAGCGGCAACCCAAACGCTCCAGCATGGCCGGAGACAACTGGAGACAATTGGAGACAACCGGGAACATCGCAAAAGAGGCAACCCAAGCAATCCAGCATGGCCGGAGACCACCGGAGGAAACACCTAGAGACATTGCCAACCCGACCAGTCGAGGTGCTATTGAAGCACACCCGAAGACAGCCGGAAAAAGGTGCACACGCAGACACACAGCGCAGAGGCGACCAAACGCACAGCGCACAGACACCACACGCTCTGCACCGAGCCCAAAAGCAGCGGATTGTGCCCGGTTGGAAGGAAATCAAGAGTGTCAGTGGAGCGTGCCGGTGCGCCCTAAGCGGGACATCTTACACATGGGCATATCGAAGGATAGGAAAACATGTTGAATGACCCTGCGATGTATCGGCTTTATGATGGTAAAACACGAAGGGCCCACCAGCTGACTCCACAGCGGCCAGCGTTCCAGATGTTGACCACCACAGCGGCTGGATGACCATCTCTTGGAAACATAAACATGTTTGAGACATCCAAATGGACAGGGGTGTGGTTCCGAACTGAAGAAGTCGGATCGAAACCATGCCAGCAAGGCGAATTCAGAGTCAATTACCTCTCAGCTACCTATGTTCCAGTCTCCGTCAAAAAGAAAACTCTTTTCATGTGTGCCCTTTGGTCCTTTGCAGTGTTGGTTTTGGTTGTCAAACCAGAAACCACAAGGGTACAAAATCCACCAGAATCCTTCCGATTCCGGCACCTTCCAATATGTGGGGGCCCACCCTGAAGATTTGAGAAAGTAACTCGCCTCCTAGCTCGCCTGCCACTCGCTTGTGCATACTCAGTGCATTCGCTACTCGAAAATCGCCAATAGTAGCTTCTAGCTACTAGTAGCGGTGGCCTTCAAACCTAATAGCTATGGCCTCCACCTAGTAGCTTCTTGTTCCTAGCAGTAAGGCCAGGAGCGCCGTGTTCGTATCCGTTCGTAGCTTCTTGGTCCCTAATAGTACGGCCAGGAGCCCCGTTCGTAGCGATGCCCTTTGCTCCGTTCGCAAGCCCAGCGGCCGAAAATTCATGTGGCCATGGTCGGCTCGAAGGATCGCTGCAGACTCCTGTCGATGTCGTGACCACATCGATGTGGTCGAACTGCCATGTGGCATGGCACAGAACACATGAAATACACAGCTCTCTGCAATCCCCACAAAAACAGCTCAATCAATCCACTCCGGCTCGAGGATCTCAGCGACCAAGGTGGCTGCATTGATGACCTCCTCCCCAGCAATCAACCATACATAATTGCCCTGCTTATCTGCCTCAGTGAACCAATCCGCCCATACTTCTCCGCCCATACTCACCTCCTTCCTTTCCGGTCTCCCGAGGTGAAGGATGCCCAACTGACCAACCGGTAGTGGAGCTTGACCAAGAGCCTTCTACGAACGGAGCCTTTCGGGCATCGCGAACCGAACGAAAACGCTCCTGGCCCTACTAGGAACAAGAAGGCTACGGGGGCGCAAGGAGCAACTGTTGTGGTCCAAATTGCTTCGTTTCGCTTCGCCAAGGAACCCAAACTCCTTGGCACCGTCGAATCGCCGAGTGCGTCCATGGGCCCAAGGGCCCCACGGTCTGCGCATCGCCTACCTGGCCTGAACACCTCAGGCGGGTTGCGCGCCAAAGCGCCGACGCCCCAAAGCGGCGTTCGGAGGCGTTCGGAGTGCTTCGTCCAAAGGTGGCGAAAGTGCTCAGCGATTCGCCAGTTGAGAATCCGAGTGAAACTACTCGACTGGGGCGCAAAAATCCAAACATGTTCTCTGGGCAGCCCTGGTTGAAAGTCGATAGGGAGTCCACTGTCAAAGCCATGAAATCACAAGCCATCCGAGAGATTCGCCTGCTTCCTGGATTTGTCAACTTGTTTGCTAGCGAACGAGTGCAACAACTGTCAGACTGTCAAATGCTAAGCGAAGCACTTGGGATGTACGCACACCTGTCAACGCAATCGATCGAGATTTCCTGATGATTGCTAGAAATAAAGCAAAAGCAAGACAAAACGTATCAAACTGATCTCAAAAGCAAGTGCAAGGCCACGGTCTCAACGCATAGCAACGCAGCGATCGATCGCGTGGTGTCCAACTGTTTCAACGTCGAAGTCCCGTTTCCTCCCGTTTTCCTGAAAGTTCATCGCTTTGCCTCGTCGCCAAAACACAGCTGAAACTGCGCCTTCAGTTCTTCTCTGCGTGCCAAGTAGGTTTGCATGGAAAGCGCATGCTCGACATACTGGATTTCAACAACCTTCACAGGTACCAAATTCCGGCAGGAGATAGGTTGACTCTCCATTCCACAGAAGCCCTCATGCTCTCTTGCTGGTCCGTTGATCAGTAAGGATGTCAAAAATTCCACCACCTGACCTCACCCTATGCAACGGCAACCTGACCTCACCACATTCCGACTCTCTCTTGATTGGCCGCAAGGTCAGCGAGGTCCTCCCAATAGAAATGCCCTTTGCTCGTAGTAGCGTTCTTGCTCCTAGTAGCGGTGCCAGGAGCCCCTAGTAGCGTTCTTGTTCCTAGTAGCGATGCCAGGAGCCCCTAGTAGCTTCTTGTTCCGCGAGCCTCGAGGTCACTGGCCAAAACGTTGATCTCATGCCCTCGCTGGCCCACGACATCGAAGAAAGCTTGGACGTCTGCGAGAAAGGCGCTGGAGCACACGTTCTCAGCCCATGCAGCGCGAAGGCCTCGTGAACCAGAGACGACCGGAGGGAACGGAACGACAAGGGCAAAACCAACCGCATCAAATCCAACGACCGCATCCGACACGTGGTGCGAAAAAAAAAAAGAGGCTGGGCCGTACATCAAGGGAAAGACTTCAAAAAGTTGGAGTGGAATCCCACAAGGTTTGCCCATGTGCGACCCTTTCCTTTGAATCCCATCTATTCCCGCTATTCCCATGATCCCATCTGCAGCAAAGTGTCCAGCAGTCCCAAAGCAGCTGTGCCTAAAAGCGTTCATGGAATGGTCACTTCTGCTGCGGCGGCTGGGGTCGTGTGCAGTCTGCTCAAACAGCTGAATGCCCAGCTGATGTCATCAACAAGCTTCTTCCCATTGGCTTGGAATAGCATCTCACTTCGAGCGTTTCATCAGGCTTTTCCATGACCAACTGCTGAGTCAAAGCAAAACCACCAAAACCACGCTAGGTGAGCATTCCCTTGAAAAGGATTCTGTGCATTGGGACACGTGACATGACTCACCACCTGACCAGGCTCGACTGTCGATCAAACTATCCCAGGCACTGTTCATAGATGTCTTTCAACGTGCTAGGCGATAGTCCAGCATGGACGATCGTGCGCTCAAAGACCAAGCGCTGAAACCTCGGTCTTGGGCTCCAGGCACTCAAGGCCCTTTGCATCTCAATCCCTTCGCTCCTAGTAGCAAGAATGCTCCTAGTAGTAAGGCCAGGAGCCCCTAGTAGCTTCTTTTTATATATAGTAGTAAGGCCAGGAGTTACGTTCGTAGCGTCCTTGTTCCTAGTAGAACATCAGTGATTCAAGCGATTTCACAACAGTGTCATGGAAGTAGTCTGAAGACACTGGACTCGTCTGGAGGTTCTCCACTGCCCCAAAACGAGTCTTTTCAGCCATCACACAAGTACCATGCTTCAGTCACCAGCTTTGCCAGAGGGCCTTCCAGAGAACGTCGGTGCAGGGAAGAAACAACGAACAAACACTAGACCACAAGGCCCTGACAATGTAATGATCAGTGATGAGGTGGTTGAATCAGTGGTTGAAGACATTTTGTCTTTCTAGCTGTCATTTTGAATGTCATGTCCTGTCTGGAGGGACACAGAAAACGTGTCCTGGCAGTGTTCGATGTGTCCCTGCCTGTCAACACTTCCCCATTGAGTCGATATGCCTCGATGAGGGCATAGCCCAGTGCCTGGGACGAACCCGGCAAAGAGCCCTCGTTCGATCATCGTTTTCTGTCCGTTTGCTCGTTTTGGTCAACGAAGGGCCTTAAGTGACCAGTTAGCAAACATATTCAGGCCTGAGAATGTCCCGTCCAACGGACCATGCGCGCATTTCGCCGGTGACGCGGTGAGAAAGATCCAAAGTGACGTCCGTGGGAGTGGTTTCAGGCCTGACTTTTGCGTAAGAACGTCAGGTCAAAACATATATTAATTACATATCATTTTAGATCTGAAGTTGGAGGCCATCGCTACTATCATATGTGTTCCTTTTCCTTTGAAAAGGTAGTGCCAAGGCACCTGTTGCTCCTTCATGGTCACGGCCAATTTCAAAGCATGAGATGTGTGTGCCTTGGGAGGGCAATTCCAGGCCCAAAGGTCATTGGAGGGCGGCCTTCGAACCAAATAGCCGTTGCCTTCGTTGTCTTTGCAGGCACTACTTCATGGAATTTCCTGGCCTCTGATGTCTTTTACGTTGTCTCTTCATCACACCTGTTTCAGAAAATATACACCACTGGCTGAGAGGTTCTATCCGACAGTCAAGCCGTTCTCGTCGAGTTTGCGGCAGTTCACCATGAGGCAGTTCTTCATCTCCGCAGTGAGCAGGGATTGCGGCCGCCTCCTCAGGATCACCCAGCTGGAATCGAAAACTGGTCTCCCACTCCGAGAAAGATCTTTGACATCGAAGTCGACTGATGACACAAACCGGCAGCATCCACCGGAAATAGCTAGTCCAACGAGCATAAGGAGCGAAGAAAACCGTAAACCGTAAGAATGGTAGCTACCAAGCTGAAGTAGCTTGTTGCTAGTAATGCCCTTGTTGCTAGTAGCTTCTAGCTACTAGTAGTAATGCCAGGAGCTACTAGTAGCTTCTTGCTTCTAGTAGTAAGGTGCCTTGCTACTACTAGCTAGGATAGACAGATCATGGGAGACCTTCGAAGAAGTTCCTAGATCTTTAGGGGAAGCGATGCCAACAAAAAGGGGGAAACCATGGGAAACCATTCAACCTCATAAGGTCAGGTGCGAATGGACAACCCATAAACTTGCGCGAATGGCCAACGGAAGGCAATGGATACGCTGGATACGCTCTCTCTCTCTCTCTCTCTCTCAAAGAGGCCCTGGACTTCTCGCCCTTTGCGTTGCAAGGCACGAAGATCGCAAAGAGCTATGCACTGGCGTGCAGGCAGCGCTGAGTCGATCCAACTGGCCGCGCTCGCCGGTTCAAAAAATGTGCGCGATGTGACCCGCCTACTCTCGACAACCAAAGAGAACTAAAGAAAATCCAAAGCCGAGATGGTGCATCAGAGTGGATCGGGGGCATTGACTACCCTGGCTTGACTTCGGAAGTGGCCAGTCAATGCCTTCTTTGCCACTTCCCACTGACTGGCTCCCAACTCGACGACTCCGACGACGTCCGACGGCCGTCCTTTGGGACCGGGTTCCGACTCCGTTCGCAGTCGCCGGTTCCGGTGAAACGTCAAAAGAGAACACATCTGTCGATGGGAGTCTGAACTCAATGTTGAGTCTGAACCCTCCCACCCACAGAGTAGAGCCGGCTTGCTGTGGATGTTTGCCACATCCGGTCCATTGGTGAACCGCCATCTCAATCAAGTTCACCAAGTTGCACAGCTGCGAAACGAAGCTCTTTGTAGCAGAACAAACAGAAGACACTCCATGCATAGCAGCAAGATCGCCAACCACGCAGGCACCAGTTGAAAGCCAACAAAGAAATAGTTTACATACCAACCTCCAAGCCAGCCCAGTGTGACCTCGTGGGATACAAAAAGTTGAGCTAACCCGACCTGAAAGAGAGCCGTGAACAACATGACTTCGCCAACCAAAAAGGCTGAATTCGTCCACGAGTCAATCACCGCAAGGAAAAGGTTCAGCAACTTGTTGCAAGACCTGAAGGGCACCACAAGGGATCAACGTCAAGCGTCCAAAACTTCCAACAAATTCCCGATACACGATTTTCCGTGTATCAAATAATAATATTTTGATAATTCAAAAAAACACAGTGCGATGTTTGGAAATCAAAGTCCAGCACCTTTTCGGCGCACCCACCTGAAACGGACCCCCACCTGAAGCGGCACTTGGTGGAAAAACCATGAGCAAGCCGAAAGGACAATGGTACCATGACCAGCATCCAAATTCCAAAGCCCAGCAAAGGTCCCATGACCCTCCAGAAGGTGTCAACATCGTACCAAGTACCGGAAGCATAATCCTTCAGCAACCAAAGAACACGTTTGAGAATGACCTAGAACGACAGTACTTGCCCAAAACCAGCAAAGCAAGAAAAGGAGGTAAAAAAGCTTCTGAGATGGTTTTCACCAAAAAACGGCATTCACAAAGATGTGAAGTAGGAAGAGTGGTGCCAACATATGGCTTGGATAATGTTTCGCTGGTCCCAAGGATGCCATGACCTGGTCACTGATAACTTCTCGGATGTGGCGATTGCAAACCTCGAACGACGAACGAACCGAGAACGGCGAGGACGTTCTTTGGGCTCGTGTCGTGAACCGTATTTGGTCAGACTGCTCCTGGAAAGAGTTGTTTTGATGTCTCCAAAATTATCCAACTAGCAGTAGTGCCTAGTAGCGATGCCCTTGTTCCTAGTAGCTTCTTGTCAAAGAGTCTTGGAGACAAATCCGCTGGGAAATCCTTTGTTCTACAGCATGGCGTTGTCTGCAACCGTCTGCAATCCACAAGGAGTAGCGGGCAAAAGGTGTGCCCAACCTATGGCGACCCTTCAGAAACCACCGGCGACCCTTCAAAGCCGACCCTTTACTTAACAAAAATGTTGCAAATGATTCTGAAGGAGCATGGCAGCTCTTTAGACTGCACCTTCATACGCTAAGGCTAGCACGGCCATAGGGCCACAATTAACCCCACGAGGTAAGCACCAGCGATCGTACTCGATCGAACTTGGGATGTTGTTTCACAATGTTCCAGTCGAAAATGGCTAGAAATGAAAACTTCATCAAGTGCGAAATCCGATTCTCCGTAGCCATCTCACCACTTACTTACTTTAGAGAACCACCCACTTACTTGGTCCATGCATGCAAAGAAACTTCTATGTCATCTGTATCAAACCAACCCAAGATGGTCTTCTCAATGGTGCTTCGGTCTTGTAGGTCCGAGCACATGGCGCTTTGCACTGAAAAGCTCCGCAGCTGCTGCTCCAGGGACGAGCGGTCTACCGCGTATTGCCGAAAGGCGTCGATTTGAAAATAGGCGGCCACTAACATGGTTCCAGCGATGAAATAAATGTCAGGCACAGGTTTGTTCATCGTGGTATTCACCTGGACGGCAACGTGGACCAAAAAGCCAGTCAACCAAAGGTAGAAGCTCAGCTTCGCAAGCTGCAAGGGGAGAAAATCCAAAGGAAGTGCCGTCTTGCTGTCAGTCGCATGGGTCTTGACGAAAGCTGCAATTTCCTTCCACGGCAAAAGAATATACAGAACAGCAAACTTCAGCAAACACTCACAAATACATGAAATACTATAGAAAGTTGAACGTGTTGAATCCAATTCAAACACAAACCAAAGGAAAAAACTGTGTTGAAAGCATGTTCTTGTTCCAGCATGCACCACAATCTCTCGAAGTATCTTGGGCTCCAAAGCACCAAAACACGCTCGGACAATGCCACAAAAGCCGCAAAAGAAGCCACCCCAGCATGCTTCAGCTCAAGATCTGTTTGGTGCACACAGAACTTGTCCAGAAAATAGAAGGCTTGCCTTGGAAATAAAGAAAACAAGACGAGACCTCGCGTGCAGACTCCGAATCAATGAAAAAAAGCGAAAGCTTGTTCAATCGATGCGAGGAACGAGCCAAAGCGCTTCTGAACATGTTGCCAACATCCCAGGACCAGAAAGAATGATGAGAATCCCAGCAGTAGCGCCCAAGGAAAGAAGGAAAAGTCCAAGCTAGCCGGAGTCACCACGGGCAAAATCCGCACACGGCACAGCACTGTGCATGTGGTCGCCACAACGGTAGAAATCAGCATCGCTGGCGTCAAGTTGCCTAACTCACGGCTTTGCGAAGCCGCTTTTGCGCTCAATCATGTTAAGTGAAATGAACATCGTAGAAAGTACAGTGGGAAACTGTGCCTTGATGAATGTGCTTCGTAGAATGGATTCGCAATCCCTTGGCTTTTTAGCGCGCAATGGACCTCCCAAGAATGAAAAATGCATGGGGGGGGCGGTGTGTGTGCGTCTGTGCGTCTCTGTTAGAAGCATCAACTCAGTTAAGGCTATAGTTACTATGGATCCATAAAGCGTACACCTTGCCAACTCTGCCATCGCTCCAGCAATGGCTGATGAAATAGTCAATCCTTTGCACAGGCATGGACTTCTCGTAAAGAACATCAGCTTCTGCACTGTTGGAGAGCGCGGAGGATCGGAAATGCCTTCCAGCACTTTGCAGAATCTCGACTAAACCAACACCTCGAAGTAAAGCAGTGTCCTTGAGATGAGTGCTCAACTTCATGTCCTTCTTTTCGATCTCTGCCTCAACTGCTACTTCATACAGCGTTCCTTCGGATTGCGACTCTGCTTCCAGCCACAAATTTTGGGTCACAAGTTCAGCAGATGCTTGAGGTCTGCAGGCTTCCAACGCTCCATGCTTGCAGTAGCATGGACCTTCACAAAACTCCATGGCGCCCGTCGCAGCTGGCCCAAGCTAGTATGATGATTTGCAATGTTCCAGAAAGCAAACCAGTGGAACACACATTCCGCTGCAATTCCTTTGAGATCGAATCTGTGCAGCTGACCCTGAAACAGTATCACAGACAGTACTGTCCTGTACTGGTGGCAAAATGCAAGTTTAAGAGCCAAGAAACTTTGAGAACAATTGCAGACCACGACCCATGACTCTTCACTTTCCAAATTAGATCAGGGTGCGGTCTATCCGATGGTCTCTCTTTGGCGAAAGAAAACCCTTTCGAAGCCCCGAGTTCAGGCCCCACCTGTGACCGCTCGACGGCCAGGATGCTTCTTCGCAGCTCTGGTTCGAGGACCTGGCGCGACTTGAGGCGGCGGCCGTCACGCACTTCACACAGGGATCCGTGTTGAGCCTCTTTTTTTGGAATTCTGACGGGGACGAGCCGTTTTTTGGTGGAATTCCATCTGAATCTTTCGTTTCTTTTTGGACTTCTAGAGCCTGTTAGATCGGGATGCAGAAAGTCCATCTGTCGACCACCTAGATGGATGTTGAGCATCCTCTCCAGCGATTCCCTGCGCGTTCGCATCACTCGCGTCACTCGTCCGCCTTCCGAGCACGGCCGAGGATGGCGCGGCAGCCCGGGAGGGACTCGGTGAGGCGTCCCGAAGACAGACCGCTCGTGAGGACCTCCGTCGCTTCAGTCGGCGTGAACGTCGCAGCTGGTACTCGGTCGCTGTGACCTCGTAGCTGGTCGCATTCTTAGATATTCGTACGACTCGTTTTTGGGGTTTGGTCAAGTCATGCATTATGTGACAACGTGCCATCTATTTACAGCACCCCTGTCGAAGAATGTTGGACATCAATCGCCCTCTCGCATGTCTTCATGCTTCGAACTTGCCAACAGCTTCACAGCTTTTCCAGCTTGAGCTCAGTTGGAATCTGAGTGCTGAAGATACTGCCGGGGAGGCTGTGCAGTGGTTGGGACATATACATTGGGTATATCCTATTCCCTGTAACAGTGGATGATGACGGATAGAAAAAGCCTTTCTCTAAATAGTGATGTTCTTGTTTACCGACTGTTACAGGTTTACTGGGACACCCAACCAGATTTATACACAGCATCGGAACTGTGTGACTCAACCAAACACAAACTCAACCAAACACACATGTAGAACATGTAGAATGAGAGAAGCATTCTGAATCACACCTCAGTTGGAATGCACCTTTGGGGGGGGCGTCTTTGCGCACTGGCGCCTTTGCACACCAAGCGCGCGCGCGCCTCGCAGGCGGCTTGCAATGGATGGCCCAAGCCCGGCTCACGGCGATTGAGCTCCAAGAAGGCATGTGCCAACCTCCGGCCACCATGGGCCATTCACAAAAAGTCGAAAAAAGAATGCTTTGAAAAAGCTCCAGATGCTTTCAAGAAGTGTTTGTCCAGCGGTTGCACCTGACTTCACTTGTCACTTCAACTCTGGGATTCAGGCCAGAACTCAGCCTTTCCAATGAGACGAAACCAGTCCTCAAACAAGGCCACGCGTTGGTCAAACATGGAATGATGGAAGGCTCCTTATATAAACATACTGTAGATTCCTCCAAGGCACGTGTCTGCCCCACATCCAGTCTGACCCAAGAACGAGCACGGCCCTGTTGGACATTCCATTGGATTTCACCACCGGGAATCCCATCGAATGCCCCGCCACTCTGGCCGAGCCCACCCAGGTCCTGCTGGGAAACGCTGCCTGTCCGCCAGCGGTCCACATACGGAGCGTTCGCCCTGGGCGGGTGAAGCTGGCCGCCCACAGCATGGCCCAGCATGGCCCAGTCTTGGAAAAGCGGAAGGTGCCAATACAAGGGATTTCTTGTGACATGGATCAGGCCGTTCCCTCTCAGTTTTGAGAGAGAGAGAAGAGCTTTCGCTCCTAGAGCGGCAAGTCTCGCTCCAAGCGGCTCTTCTTGCAGGTCTCCTTGATAAGCCCAGTCTAAGTCCTGTCCGAAGCGCTTCAGCGGAACACACCGAAGCGCTTCAGCCTGAAGTCGTCCCGCCTCTTCTCGCCTTGAATTGCCATGCCTCAAAGGAAACACGATGATCTCCAACAGAAGTCACCAAAGAACAAGCTGCATGATGATGGGGCAAAATCTGAACTGTCCAGTGCCAAGCAACAAGAGATCTGTGCTGGCTTCATCTCCTGGCACAAGCTGCAGAAGACATCGCCCCAGGTTTCTGCGGAAAGCGTCTTCTGCAAACATGATCCAATGTCCACATGAGGGACGGTCAAAACTCCTTATTCTTCTTCAGCTAAAAAATGGACGTCATCGGTTTTGAGGTGGACCTTATCGTTTTACAGCGTTTTGAGTTCGTCGCATACTTATGACCATATACAGCGCTGGGGTTATCGGTTTTGAGGTGGACCTTATCGTTTTGCAGGGTTTTGTGCACAAACCTACCCCTCTTTACTAAAGTGGTCTTCGCATGTTTTGACCGTGGCTCACATGTTGCAGTCTTTCAGGTTGACAAGAACTGGGAATATATGAGTGTGATGAGGAGCAACGTGCTCCCGTGGATCCTCGTGTGCTCTCCAGCTTCCTGCTCATGTGTTTTCAAGTTATCATAGATGCGGCCAGGACGATGCCTTCGTGACCTTCACCTCCAAGCATCTTCTCAGAGGGCAACCTGGATCAACGTCCAAGGCTGAGAAAGAAAGGCAAAGCCAAATGGCATCCACCTTCTGTGCTTCAGCACACTGAACGTCCCTCGAGTCGCTAGGCAATTACTTTTTACTTGAAAGTTGCCAGGCTGCTATGTTGTACAGTGGAAACATGAAGACTTCTGTGATCCCCTCACAGACACCCAGAGCACCCGCACCCGACGTGCTGCTAAAGTTTCGCAATTCCAAAGAAACTAAGAAGAGCTCCTAGTTTGGGAGGCCATCGCTAGTAGGTTGGAGGCCAACAAAGCTGTTGACTAGCTTCAGAGGTTACCAAGCAAAAGCCGGTGGGTTGAGCTTTTGCACACAACCCGGCGCACCTCTGAGCTGCCTGTAGAGCCCTTCTCCTTGCTACGGCCATCCCCATGGCTAAAGGGAAAGTAGGTGGGCGGGTGGCGCTCTCTCTTTCTCTCTCTCTCCCTCCTTCCCAACTTTCTCAATAGCTTTGCTAAAGTTGTATCCATCTGAGCGTCGCAGTTTAGCCTGACTGGACTTCTGCTGGCTACTCAGTTGTCCAGTGCCTCTCTACCAACTGTTCCAAGGGGCCTCAAAGTAAGCAAACTTCCAAAGCCCCTGACAATGTCCATCTTGAACTTGAAATGAAACTCATTGGGCCCAGGGGGTCTCCTTATTTGGGAACGTATGCGAGTTTAAGAGTACCGTGTTCTATTGTTATCTTCTCGTTGCATGTCTGTTGGGGACTTTGGGGTGTCTCACCCTAAACATCACAGAGACTTTGCCCAAATAGAATCGGTGTCACCGAACTTTACCCTGTCTTTCCAAAGCTATCCTTCCAAACGCAAGAGTGATACAACTCCTTTCCCAATATGCAAACCTTCCCCACAACGGATTTCTAAATGAACAAACCTTCCCCCAAAAACCAGAGATCGCCGTCACGGGCTAAGAAGAAAGAATTTGGCCGTTCGGGCTTCGTCGCACCTCCACACATAGACCCGCTGCACGGCGGCATGATCGCTGGGCACACAGCCACTTTCGCCTTTGCCCAAGAAAGAGCTCTTGAAAAAGAGAAAGAGAAAGCAATGACCGAATAGAAAAAGAGAGAGAGAGAGAGTACTGAGTACTTCCGAATTGCGAGTTCTTCGTTTTCAGCTCCGCTACAGGTCTGGCAAACCCATGTGAACGTGACATGTGAACGTTACCCCCATTGGTTCATGGCCCTTCATCCCGAACCGAAGCACACCGGGCCTGGGCTCGGCATCAAAGCATCACAGAGAAGCGCTTTCAGCTCTTCAGCAGGTAAAAGTCTACAACTCTTCTCCACGTGGAGCACCTGCAGAAGTTCTTTCCTTCTCTTGTGGAAGGCAAAGGGAAGTGAATATGTCAATGTTGTTTTACCATGAAACTGACTATGAACCAATTTTGACTGCAGATTCCAGTCAAGGCAAGCCTGCAAGGGTTCTGACGCTTCTCGGGCTGCTTGAAAAAGGCCTGAGACAAGAAGACGATCCATTGGAAGTTGCTGTGACATCATCAAAAGAATTTGCTGTGAACTTCTTGTGCCATCTTTCATCCGAAAATTCATGACCCATTCACTTTATTTGAGGATCCAACCAAGAAGCGTCAGGTTCCTAAGCTCACTGAGCTGCGAGTTTGCACAGAGAATCGTGCATTCTTACACATCATTCCTTGTTCAATAAGATAAATGACAAAATCATTGCTTCTAAACATGTCTAAAAACGATGTCGGAGTCCAGACAGCACCAAGGATCGATTTGTACATTGGCCAAAAGTGACTCCAGAAGAAGTCCATCCCGCAGTGTCCTGACAAAGCCAGTTTGATGTTCGCTGGCAAGAAACACGAAAAATCATGGCACGGATCTGCGCAGCATTCTTTGCCCGCACAGTCTTGCCAAAAAGGAAGAAAGAGAAAGAGAAAAAGAGAGAGAGAGAGAGAGAACTCAGCCAGGTATGAGATGTCTGATCTCCGCGACCAGACCTTTCCGCGCTGTGAAGTGCATGTAGTGCGTCTGATCGAATCCATGGGACAGGCGATGCCCATCAATCTCGATCATGAAGTAACCACCTAGGAGCAAGGACTCTACTAGGAGCAAAGAGCATTTCTACTAGGAGCAAGGACGCTACGAACGGGGCTCCTGGCATCGCTACGAACGGAGCGATCGGACGCTACTAGAAGCTACTAGGAGGCTACTAGTAACAAGTGCATCGCTACTAGTAACAAGTGCATCGCTTCTAGTAACAAGTGCCTTACTAGTAGTAACAAGAAGCTAACTAGGAACAAGTGCATCGCTTCTAGTAACAAGTGCCTTACTAGTAGTAAC